GGTCGGGGCGTTACAGTTTTATGTTTTGCATTTTCATATTTCCGTTGGTTTCAGTTAGGGAAAAAAGCAATATTTATATGTTAAAATTGTGTACATTTGTTTTTCTTTTCTTTTGGGTTAGAAGCGTTATATGTGTGTTATGTTTCTAGTTCCCATACTTCTTTTGGGTGTTCATGGATTTGGGTAAAAAAAAATTCCAAATAAAAGTATCGCATACGGGTTAGTAAGTTAGTAACTATTGTCTACTAAAGACTGTTTTTTACTATAATAGTGTAACTTTTATGTTACACCCTTGTATATATTATAGTTTTTTCAAAATAATACTGATTAAATTCCTTCCGCTTTCAAATTCATATGACTCATTTGCCGATTTAGACAACTCAGTCACTTCATAAGGACTTATATGATTCCCTCTCCTATTTGTAAGAGTGAGTCAGCTACATTTTTCTTGAATTAATCGACAGGTTTTATACCCACTTTAATCATTTGTTCACTAATCAATAATCATCATGTTCTTTTCTAAAACACAGAACCATTGGTTTTGTTTTTAAGTTACCGCCACTAAAGTTTTTATAACATTGAAAACACAGAGAGTCAGAAATTCACACTAAAGCATGGCCGCAACAAAATAAGTTTGAACTCAAAACTACATGGGAATGAGAATTGGGTTTATTTGTGAAATAACAAAAAAAATATTGATTAAATTTGTAGAAAGAGGGTAAGAGGGATATAAAGAGAATGCATGAGGGAGAGGATGATTTTGGGTATTTAGAGAATTTGTATTTTTTTTTATTTGGCCTTGTTTTCCTTGATAATTTCAAAGGTTTTTTGTACCAATCGTTTGTTTCAAATTTTAATGATTTTAAAGTCATCAATGCCATTTTATTTTTGATTTTTATTGATTTTATGTACCTTAAATTACGTGGTTTTAAAAACAAAAATTTTACTTTTATCATATATATATATATATATATATATTATTTTTCTTAATAACCTGAACACTTATTCTAGTTTTATCATAAATTTTGTTTGGTAAATTACACATTATTAGTTTTTTATTCATATTGCCTTGTTTTTGTTTTCATATATAATATGTTCTTTACTACTCTCTAGTATAATTTATAAAATAATATCCACAAATTTATAATTTTTATTATCAACTATATGCAATTTTGTAATTTTTTGAAGTAGTATTTATAGTTTTAGCAATCTGAATCAAATACATCCAAAAATTAATCTATACAATAAATTATACTCGTACAAAACTTATTGAGTTTTCTTACATAAGGGCAAAAGCTAATCCATTGTTTATTACACTAGAGCCGGCCCGCCCTACGGGCGGGATGACAATTTCAAATAATTTAAATAGTTAGATTAAATATTTTTGATACTTGTTTAATATTTTTTTTTTTGAATATTTTGTTCTATATTAGTATAAATTATTATTTTATTAATTTTTATTCTTTATTTAGTTTTATTTCCATTACAATTAAATAAATTTTACCTTACGATTATTAAAAAAATTTATTTGAAAATTTATTCTGTTTTTATTATAATGGTATAAAATTGTTGATTTATTTGTATAATTTTAAGTTACCTAATTTTATTCATTTTCTTACATTATTTTATATTGTGCTCATATTCGACTTTATAACAATATATTTTAATTTTACACTGTTGTGGATCTATGTTTATAGTTTTTCTTAGAATTCATGACACAAATATTTAAAATATATTTATTTAGTTAGAATAACTTAACATATCTCTTTTAATCTATTTTTTTGGAGGATTTTTTTAATTTGATATAGCATCATTGATGTTAGGAAAAATTAAAAAACGTTAGTTCGCCTGATGTTGCTTAATATGTTATAACTTTGTCTCCTCTTATGTTTTCCTCTCATATTTTCTTATTATTCTTGTGAGGTCTCAACCTTGGACAACACTTTGTTCAAAACATATAGTATTTACATGGTAATTTGCAAGAGATTTGTTTTTAAAAAGACATTTAGTTACCGAATGAAGTTAATTAAGTTGATAATTAATGTTGCAGTCAAAAACAAATATGTTGCTGCTCAAGAAGAGTACTTAGGAAGGATGGGTTGTGAGTGAATCTTGTACACGTGATCGCACCAGATACATAATTGTTAATATGTTAATGTGAGTGTTCTTTAAGGAACAGCCAATAGTTAGAGAGTTCAAGTCATGGTTTCGTTGCCAAGAGCTGCAATGGTCAAGTCCAAAAAAGAGATGAATGAGCTGAACTGAATCTTAATCACTTAACATCAATGTGTAGGAATCTCTACTCCAGATAATGGCTACTTTTTATATTAGATAAGTTTTTAATGAGAATACATTGATTTGAGAAGAAATTGGATCAGTGCCGCACATAGAGTATACACTCATGAAAATGTTTGTTCTCTCCTCACTCCATTTCAGAATCTCCATAGCTAACTTGAGAGACGAATATGTACTGTTGGGGTGCACACTCTCGCTCGGAGAAACATTCATCTTTTCCAGTCAATGAAGAGTAAACAACTTGAACTTAACATGTAATGGAACGCTAGCTAACCCAAAGTGGGGTACCACTGCTAAAACGGTGACGACGGACCACATGATTATAGGTTCTGGAACTCAAATGACGTCAGAGGTGTTACATCCCTTCTGCCATATAGAAAAATTTTGAATTATAAGAATGATAGATTCTTATCACACATGGTTTTCAAAATATGCTACTACATAAGATAAAAAGAGTGTAGAACGTAAAACTATAATAGGGAAAATACTTATACCTTGGACGAAGACAAAACTTGAGAATCCTGCCGATGGAGCTATAGAGGGTCTTCTAGACATTTTAGAGTTACAGTTGCGATGAACCTACAAAGTAGCAGATGCATTATGTGCTTCTAGTTTGAGAACATATCAAGAGCTTACAATCTATAGTATGAATTCAAAACATAATCAAAACCCAATCATTTTCTATCAAAATTCCTTTTCCAAAATTTGGTTCATTATTCAGTTTTCTTTCATGTCCTTTTAATTCAGAAATATGGACTTTCGGTCTTTTAAGCTAAAAGTCTTGCAATATCATACAAAGAGTTTCAGTAACCCATTAATACTGTCTCTGCAAAAAAAATGAATCGACAAATGATGCACTCTCAAATAAAGTGAAAATATTGGCAAAGATGATATAACCATGTTCCTTTGTCCGGTCACATGACTCAACAGTGATTTATGAAAATGAAATTGAACCCAACACAAATGAGAGAAACTGAGAAATAGGAATTTTATTTTAAAAAGCAATGAAACCAAATATTTAACTATATACCTGAGAGCAGATTTCTTTCCTTGAGACACCAAAGAGCACAGTGTGTACTTATAAAACAGAGAAGCATATTGTATGAGTCTGAGCTGTAGCGTAAGGCTTAATGATAATAACACTCATTGAAAGATTTCAGTTATTACCTCGTTTTTGGGATAAACCAAATGATTCAACAAAAGCCTGCAGTGAGCAATAAAACTTAGCCACGTGATCATAACCTCACAATGTTATAGGTTTCATAAGGAAAATGGATTCAAATTATATATGCATGGGTCAGGTAGAGCATAATCTGACCGTATTCTTATATCAATTTTAATAACAATATCCGCATACAGCACTGAGTGATAACAATGTAAAAACAAACCAAAAAATAAATTTCACCTGTAAAATAACTGAGAAAATGTGCACACACTTGGGCGGCGACATATACATCTCGTCAGAGCCACAGAGATATACTGAATAATGCGAAAACAAAATAAATCACATAAGTCATAGCTTTAGCTTATGAACACAAAAGAAGATGCTGGTGATCATATTTGCACAAATAAAAAATAAGAAACTAAATGCTGAAACACATGTGAAATAGACAACAAAATCAATAAATGGTTTCAAAATTACTCATTCAAAAAGATGCTCAACAAAGATATGAATGGGAAAGCTTGATAATGAGGGTCTAACACGTAGGAAAGTTGAATAAAACTATGAACATGAGTTAAAGAACAGAATAACCTTTGCATCCAATAGTAGCGTATCCATCCACATCAGCTTGCCACAACGTTTGATGTTCTTGGCCTCCTAATTCTTGGCTTTCCAGAATCCAGACTTCAAACTTCAAATCAAAAAGGAGGATTGATGAGTTAGCTATTTCAGAGAAAATATATTAACTTCGATGTTTTCACGAATTGAGAAGATGATGTTGAAGAAAAGAAGGCTAACCTTTAAATAGTTGTGGATACACCGCCTTCCAGAGGGATAACTCGCATTCAATGTCAGATCATGCTTCACGTCGGTCTATGGAGTTAGGATTGCGATAAAGGCAATGAATCCGTAACCTGGAGAGTTTCGGTTGATTTGAATAGAAGACTTAATGACGTGATTGTAAACCAACAAAGAGATGCTTCAGGTTGATTTGAGTAAATGAATATCTCGAAACACCATTGATAGTCTCAGAGGAGGCATATGATTTTTTTTGGCATCGGAGATTGAAGAGGAGGAAAAACCCTGATTTCGATGTGGAGTGGAAGAAGAAGAAAAGGGCTTGTCGCTGATGGGCTCACAGATTATTAATTTAAACTGAAAGCCCAATTAATATTAAGATTATCCAGAAACAAAACGCATTGTATAAATACAATAGGACACGTGGTACTCCCTCCTTCTCTTATTTAATGACGTGGTAGAGGCAGGAGGGAAGAAACTATACTTTATATAGATAGATTAGAAAACCTAAATTTTACTCCCTCCGTTTTATTTTATTTGACATTCTAGGTTTTTACACACAGATTAAGAAAATATTTAATTTTACATATTTCCAAGATAAAAACACAATTAACTATACACCTAACAACTTTTCAACCAATAGAAAATTAGAATATTATATAAAACTAATAAATTTTGCCTCGAAACTTTAAAATGACATTTAATTTGTAACAAAAAAATAAGTATAAAATGACATATATTTTGAAACGGAGGGAGTAATAAAGAAGATTATTTTCTCATTTTGATGATTTACGTTTATTCCAAAGCAGTAAATTCATTTTCCATTTAACCCACACAACCAACCAATACGACCTCCCTCCCCTCATCGTCTTCTCAAACAAAGAAAAACAGATCTGCTTCCTCCATTTCCTTCTCCGCCATAGCAACCAACCATGGGAGAAAACACTAATAACCGCACCGAAGCCGAACGTCTCCTCGGCATCTCCGAAAAGCTCCTCGAATCTCGAGATCTAAACGGCTCAAAGGAGTTCGCAATCTTAGCCCAAGAAACCGAGCCTCTCCTCGAAGGCACCGACCAAATCCTCGCCGTCGTGGACGTCCTCCTCGCCTCCTCCTCGGAGAATCGCATCAACAACCAACCCAACTGGTACAAAATCCTCCAGATCGATGACCCGGATCAACCCGATCTGATCAAGAAACAGTACCGCCGCCTCGCTCTCCTCCTCCACCCCGACAAAAACCGCCTCCCTTACGCCGACCAAGCTTTCCGCTTCGTCGTCGACGCGTGGGAGGTGCTCTCAACGGCTTCCAAGAAGTCTCAGTTCGATCTTGTCTTCACTAAAGTGGATCTGAATCGGAGTAAGAAGAGGAAAGGAGGGAATGAGGAGAGGATGAGTACGTTTTGGACGGCGTGTCCGTACTGTTACGCGCTTCATGAGTATCCTAGGGTTTATCAGGAGTATTGTATTAGGTGTCAGAATTGCCAACGCGCGTTTCACGCCGCGAGTGTTCCCAAGTTGCCTCCGTTGGTCCCTGGGAAGGATGAGTATTATTGTTGTTGGGGTTTTTTCCCTATGGGGTTTGTCGGAGGGAAAGGAGAAGGAGAAGATGCTATGAAGTTTCCGAATTGGATGCCTCCGGTTTTCGGACAGAGTCCGACAGAACCTGTTGCTAATGGTAATGGGGCGGGTTCGTCTCGTGGTGTTCCGATTAGTTTTGATGGGTGGTCGGGTGGTGGTGGTGGTTCGGGGAAGAGTGATAATAATGGTGGAGTTGGTTCTGATGGGATGCCGAAGAAGAGAGGGAGAGGGAGGCCTAAGAAGAATGTGTGATGATGGTGAAGATTTTAGAGGATCAGTGTTTGTAGCTTAATCTTTTTATTTTCATGTAATTTGTTAATTTTAAGTTCTTATAACCTTTATTATGCATTTTTCTACTTCTTTTTTGGGAAAATTTTCTATGTAACTTGTTGTGATCAAGATACTTGTGTTCTGTCCTCAGTTGACTATCTTATTCGGCATTTCCTTGTATCATATAATCTGCTTTGAAAAAATGGTATGTTTTGATTGCATCATTTGTAAACTTACTAACTTTTACTTTAGTTTTTGTTTTCTTGAAACTGTAACATACTCAGAAATGAATAATATGCAGCAGACAAATCTGTTTTTTTTTTTTCTGAACAAACATATCTCAAAAGTATATATTGGCGTTTGGTTTTAAGAAACTTAGCAGTAGTGTCTTTATTACTTGTTTTCAAAGAGTGACAATGTATTCTTCTGCAATGCCACAGACGTTTTGGTATTCGTTAAATGTCACGGTGATTGTGCGTGTTGGATTACGATTGATAAAGGATTGTCTCTGCATTGCGTAAATTTCACCTCTCAAAAGTGCTTTTAAGATAGAAAGCATGCGTCTCCTAATTATTGTTTTTGAAATGATCTTTGTCTGCCAAAGCTCTTTTTGCAAAAATTATGTAGGAGCACACTGTCTAAACCTGTTAACTCGATTTATATGCAGTGTCCAACACAAAAAGCAGTAAGAAAATAGTTTATGTAACTATTCTGTCCTTATGAAGCATAAGTTTATCTATTGACAATGTTTTTTGTTTCTAATAACGTTTATTCATTTTGCCTTCCTCCCTAACTGAGACATCAATTGTACAAATGAACTGTTATGCATAAAAGTAAAGAGAAACTAACAGTAGGAGAAATACATGACGAGAGTGTAATAATAGATAAAGAGAGGTTGTGAAGCAGTAAATGGAGATTAGTTTTAACCAAGATGCATCTGACTGCGGTTGTCCGTATTTAACCATCACACTTAAAATCTAAATGAATCTAATCCTTGATTAACTCCAAACAACAATACTATCTCCAAAAGTTCTTTAGAAACAAAGAGTGTCAAAGATACAACTACGAAAATCAACAGCAACGACATAATTATTTGTTATTTGTTTTTAACCAAAAATATTATGAAGGGTCTACATCTCTTAGCCTAAGAGTCTTAGGAGACTATAAATGATTTCTCTCTGTGAGATTGCTAATTCTTGACGATATTGAGATCGATGTGTACATACGCAAGAGAAGCCACAAAGACGAAGAAGAATGCAGATACAAGCATGAATGGTTCCGCAAGCATGTATATTGGTTTGAACGTATAGTACACCTGCCAAAAGCCGTCACATAACATTACTCAGTTGGTTAATCTAGGCTAGTACAGAAGCTCAGGTTAATAGTAATTTTTTTTACCTGGAAGGGTACGTTGTGAGTGGGAACTACATTATCCTTTTGCAACACAACCACGGTTCTTCCCACGATGTCAAGGTATGAGTATTTAACCTGAGACAAGACCATTATAGATACATGTTGTGTAGTAACTCTATAGTTTGCAAATGCAGTTCATGTATGTGTGACGTACCTGTAAGTCTTGATTGACTGTGAAGGGCAAAACAGCAGAAGAGTCCTTTGATCCTTCAGGAAGCACGACCTGAAACAGAATCTTCCTGTGTTAGCGAGTGATTGCTCAACAACAGAGCTTGGATAAATATTAGTAGAAAAATGCTAACTAAACCCACTTTGAGAGTCAACTTGTTAACTATAGTTTCAACGAGGGGGCAGCCAAAGGTAAAGTTCAAGTAACGTCTGCCATCTGGTGCTTCAAAGAGATAATCCTCCAATGGAACTCGATAGCCAATGATAAAAGTTGCTCTCCACCCTCCAAATAAAGGGTATCGTGGTTCAAATTCAAGTTCTGACTGCAAAAACCAACAAGAATAACATATCATATCAACTTCTTTAGGTAGAACGTGTGAAGTTTGCTTCGCTAATCACCATGGTGAATTGATGTAACACCACACTAGCCTGCGGTTTCGGGTGTTTTTGGTTTCGGTTAATTCGGTTTGGCAACATGCCATCAAAAAAATCGGTTCGGTTCGGTTCAGTTTTTGGTTAATTTTGGTTTTTTATTTTATTTCAAAAATAATCTCTTTTTTTTTGGTTTTTGGTTAGAATTTGGTATAATTTTTCAAAACACCGGATATTTTTGGTTAAATTCGGTTATTATGGTTAGTTAGATTTCTTCGATTCAGTTATTTTATTTTCGGTTAGTTTTTTAATTATCAAAAACAAAAACCAAACTGAACCAAAAACCGAATCATTTTTCAAACCAAATAAAACTCAAAACCGAACCGAAAACCAAAAATTTCAGTTTGGTTCAACTGGTTCGGACAAAATCCGCAGGTATACACCACACCATTGTAAATATTACTTGCCTAAATGACTAGAGATGAGAAGAGGATAACCAAACCATACCTTCTTGAAGCCTGTACGCAAATGTGAAGTTGAGATGTTACCAATGTCATCCCTATAGTAAACAGAGTTAACTCTGGGAGGAAGCACTGCAAGGAGCGCATTAAAAGAAGATGAACCACTTATGGAACGTCTAGACTGATAATCAACCCTGCCCCCGAAAAAAAAAACTCAAAAAGGTCAGAAGAAATGTCATACACATACATATGAATACAATAAAACCCATTACAATACCTTGAGAAAACACCCTTATGCCGAGCTCCACCATGAGTCAGCCTATAATTCTCCGTTACCTGAATGCTACCCCAGTGCGAAATCTCAATCTCACGCACAAGCTCCTCAACAACAGCAAACGGACTGTTATTCTCAAAGTGAACAATAACAGGTGCGTAAGAGTATGGTGTACGATCCTCATACGGTCCATATTTAATCTCTTTTCCAGCTCTGTTCGCAGGGTCAACGCTGGTGAAAGACTCTACTCTTGTACTAGGAGTCTTGAAAAAACTTGTCTGTTGCTTGATGTGATACGGTGAGAGTATCACTGCACTGTCACGGTAGTAAACTAGTTGAGCTTCTGATTGGGCTATCTCTGCCGGGAAAGGCTCCAAGGAATGAGTTAAAATGTAAAGGATCTCGAGTGTAACGGTTTCACCAGGGTTTAAGGGGGTAGCAAAGGAGACAAGGAAGTAACCATTGTCGTTTGGTGCATCAGGTTGTTGTTCAGTTGGTTTGACGTCTAGAGGTAAGTAGTTTTTCTTCTTCTTCTTGCCTGTGATTGCTAAGGCTTGGACCATAGATAAATGCTTGATTTGTGTAGGTGGGAAAGCAAGAAGCATATCTGTTGCAGGTTCTTTCCCAATGTTTTCGACCTAAAGAAACAATTTAGATAAGAAACTAAAGGTCCAACTTTTTTAAATACAAGCGACTAAATTTGAATGGAATTAAAAGAGTTGCAATTGCATATAGACAGAAGAGTTTCAAGCTTTAGTGCTAAAGTTTCAAAGTGTATTATTATAAAAAAAAAAGGAAGAATCTTTGAAGAGAGATACCTTAAGGGTCAAGAAGGCCTTAACGATGTGTGAGCTTAAATCAATCTGCAGACAAAAAGAACCAACACAACAAAAAAGGTGGAGCATTTTAGAATCAAACATTACTTTCCGACAGAACATTCATCAACAGAACATTACTTTCCGACAGAACATTCATCAACTTTGAGGTTTCGGTAAGAAAGTTTAAACGGATCGGTTAAGTAAAGTAGAGAGGTTTTATGAATTTTGTTAGGGGGAAGAGAGATAATACCCTTCGCTCGGCATTTATGATCTGGAGATCCTGAGCGGAGGAAAATGATAAGGATAGAGCTACGATGACGGCGAAGATCCAGATACGAGCAGCCATTTCGTCACTCCACTGAGAAGACAACTCGTTAGAACCAAGCGAGCTCGGAGATGGAGAATTGATAGGATTTGGAAGAAAGATAGAGCAGGCGAAGTGAGGAGAAGGAGGAACAATGATCCGGTCAACTACAAAGTCTCACACTCTCACGATTTATGGATGAGTTGTTCTCTCTCTTTTCTTCCTCATTACGGAAACGACATGAGGCATTGTCGTTTGAGCTTCTAAAAGATAATGGGCCTTAAGTGGATCCGCATTGGTATGCCGATATGTTATCTTTTCCTTTTCACATTTTTGCACGTTTTTCTGTAGGCATTGGCATTCGGATATCGGATCGAGCTCAGTGTCGGATATTTCGGATAACGGATAATTCAAATATGGAAAACTGGTACCAATCAGGTAATTTTAAATAGCAGACCGGGTTCGGTTTAGTACTTAATGGGTCAAGATATTTTTGAATATATTTGAATGAACCGAAAATATTTGCCATAAAAAGTTATTAATAACAGAGCAATTTACGACAAAAACATGTCATTGTATTTTTTTGGGTGTGATTCTATATTTATAAATGAGTTAAGATTGGATAATGATGAGTGTTTGATAATTTAAATTAACGTTAATTTTAGTAATTATTAATTATGGTTTAGACAATGGCATGAGTATGCAATTTTTATGGAAAATTAAGAGTTCAGTACTAAATATAATTCTCTTTTAATAGATTAGATATATGACTGGTTTCCAGGTTTTCGAATCAGACTGAGGTTATAGTTTTATTGGATCCGGGTTTTTTAAGTAGAGGTTTCATTTTAGGTTCATATGGAGGTTTAGGATGGTTTACTCGGTTCACAGCCGGTTTAGTTATACCCCAATATTTTATACATATACTTATATCTAAAATATTCTGTGACATTTTAATTCAATTTTTTTTTTAAAAATCCGGAACTCTATAAATTTACTCCAAACAGTACAAATCATAAAATTAAATAAAAATGATTGAGATCTATAATTATATTCTTAATGTATTTAGAATTTACAGTACCTCAAATACTACTAATATGAAATTTACAAATACAAATTCATTATAACAATCAGAAAAAAACACTTGAACTTGAAATATATGGTATTAAGGTTTTTTAATCAGTTCTTATATTGGATCTGAATCTAGATTAGTTTTGATTTAGATTTGTGGGTCGGTTCTGGTTCAAATTTTTGTTCCGGGTAAAATGATTAGAACTGGCATAAACACCTCATTTTTCAAGGGCTAGAAATGTAATTAAGCATCATCATCCTCTTCCTTATCTATCGTTAGATGCTTTTTCTTCCACACCAGTCACAAGGAGATGAAGCGAAAAAATGGCGGTTTAGTGCACTA